TATATTTCAAAATTTTCCCTTTCTCACACTTTCCACTACTTCTATCCTAAAGTTTCACACTAATCTTTCATAGTTGCTAGGAAAGCCTCCACGCTTAGAGGGAAAACAATAATTCATGGATTATCTTCATATCAATACACTCTTGAAAAAAGTATTCAGAGGAAATTCATTTTATTAAACACAAGCTTCATATGGATTGAAAATTAAAATTAAAATCGTATAACAGAGGAAATTCGTTTTATCAAGCATAAGCTTCATGTCGATTGCTTTTTAGCTAAAATTAAAATCATATACTTCAATTTTTTTTAGCTTTTCACACTTTCTTGTTGGTTGGAGTATTTTCTCTATTATCTTGTCAACTGCTCATGCTTAAACAACGATACAAGTGAAGTTCAAGCACTATTTGATTAGCATTTTTTAAAGTATTTCTATTGTTTGTGAACTAATTTCACTTATAACTATATATATATCTATATATAATAAAAAAACCAATCAAACAAATGATTTACTTGAGATGGCTATTTAATTCAGCTAGAACAAGTACTAAACATTACCAAAAACACTTGGAAGAACTATTTGCCCTAACTTACAAATTGGAAGGTCCCAACCACAAGTTATAGTTGCTTCATGTGAATATCACTAAATATATTTTGAAATAGTCAATCACAAGTTTTCAACATCTAAATGCAATGAAAATATAGCTCCAAAATACATTTGTTTAAATTGCTAATGAACTAGGCATTTTTACAAACATCTTAAATACAATGGAAATTCAAAAAACATAATTAGCCCTATAATTTTAATGCCAAATTTTCTCATGAAATATTTTGCAACAACTCAAGAACAAGTCATGGAAGCAGCAACAATATGGTTACAAAATACTCTATTAAATAATAATGTAAAAATGGATTATTTCATTAAGAATGTCAATGAAGATATATAAATAGAAAAATAGAACAAAATCCTTACCAAGCCTTGCTTCAGTATAAATTTCGCCAAGAGACATTCACTGGAATAGAAATTCAGATAGAACACTAGAGACAACAAATAGGGTACAAATTAGAGAGTATAGTTTTAGAAGAGGGATGATTTCAAAAATATCCAAAGAGAGTAAAAAATAGGGAGTTTTAGAAGAGATTTTAGGGTTTTAGAAATAATCAGGGGAAGGCATACCTTGTTGATTGCTCTTCAAAAAAAAAAAAAAATCCTTTGTTTTCTCATAAACCAAACATAGGCTCATTGGGTTAGATTAGGGTTTTAAAGTGAATAGCCACTTAGAACTTGTAGTCAGTCGAGCCAATCGAAGAGAGACGAATGAGCGCAGTAGAGAGAGAAGAGAACGAGAGGAGCAGGAGAAGAGGGAGCGAGAGAGAAGAAAGAGTGAAAGTAGAGAGAGAGAATAAGTTAATATTGGAGATAGTCAACCGGTTGCTCCAGTGTTCAATTTTTCAAAATTAAAGAATTCAATGTCAGGATGTATTTGTGTAATCCAACAGCCAATAATGAAGTTGTATATGGTGTGCAACTCTTAAGGGATTGTACAATGACAGCTCCCCGTCAAAGGTTTAAAAAGTATATTGTTTTCTTGGCTTTGACTTCCCTCAAGTTAACCTCTCAATTTGAGAGAGTGTTTGAATTTATCAAGTTTATTTTGGAATTAATTTCGATAATTTGAATCGTTCATGTTTTAAGACTCATTGAATAGAATATTTATGTAAAAAATCAAGATGATTGGACATTGGTAACTATATATTTGAATCATATTTATTTTTAAAAAAATAGATGGCAAATATAATTTTAACAATAACCATTCATTTTTTGTAATATAAATTTAATTCAAATATATAGTTACTAATGTCTGATCATCTTAAGTTTTTACATGAATATTCTACTTAACGAATCTTACAAAATAAGCGGTTCAAATTATCAAAATGTAACCTATGATGGGCTCCACTGATCCCTTAAGTTATCTTATGTTGAGATCCTAACATAAGAAAAACCCAATATTACCTGTCAAAGTTCTGACAAATAATTTTTATTTTTGTTTTTAAATTTCTATGTAGAACAACACTTTTTATACAAAATATATGATTTTTTCTATTCATCATTGCAATCTATCTTTTACATATGTTTTCATATATATATAACAACACCATCATTACCATCATTTTCAAGTTACAATCAAATACCAACAACAACAACAACAACCAAAAAACTTTCCGAAAAGTATTTACGTAGCTTAGGAAAATGTTTGTTGCACTCTTGAAGCGATATAGACACAGAAATCAGATATTGATTCTGACACAAAATATATAAATATTAAATAAGATTTTATAAAATTTGTTGGAAGTAAAAAATCATGTCCATTAATATTTTTTTTTGGGGGTACCTTAATTCAGTTATTGGTTCCTGTATATTATTTTAATTGATTCTTGGTGAATTGATCAGTCTCTCTCTAGGTTTCATTATTGTTCAACTAGAAATAGAGGCAAGGGAAGTTAGCCCTAAGCACTAACCTTCGTTCAACAACCCTTCCTTTTGATGCTCTAACTGTGGAAGAGATGTTTAAAAAAAAGGCAATATGCATGTGGAGATTCTTGATTTGAGTTCAAACCCACTACAACCTAACATGAGGTCTCTCTCTCATAACAACTTCATGGAAGGAGAATCCAGTGAACACTAAACCTACACCCTATGAAGCACGGATACTCCGAAATGGCCCTTGTACTTGTGTCGGATATGTATTGGATACGGATACGCGTCTAATATGGCGGGATACGTATCAAATATGGAAAATAAGTATCCCAATTTTTTTTAAAATTTTTTTTGAATTTCAGATACGTTTAGGATACGCGAGGATACTTCAAGGATACGGTTGGGATACTTTCAGGATACGGTGGGGCAAAAAATAATTTAAAAAACTTATAATGGGGTCAAAATGTAAAATAACAAAAGTAATCTAAAATAAAACAAAAAAAAAAAATCAACCAAGCCCTACCTCAAGGCTCGCGAATAGTAGCAAGGAGGAGGAGGAGGAGGAGTCGATCAAGATTCATCCTCCCCCTCTCCCTCTCGCTAGATCTCACTCACTCTCTCTCTCTCTCTCTCTCTCTCTCTCTCTCGCGCTCCATCTCTCTGTCCCTCTCGCTTAATCTCACTCACTCTTTTTCTCTCTCCATCTCGCCCTCGCTCCCTCTCTCTCACTCTCCCTCTCACTTGATATCTCTGTCTCTCTCATTCAATCTCACTCACTCTCTCTGTCTCTCCCTCTCGCTCAATCTCACACTCTCTCCCTCTCATTGTACTAACCCCTTTGATTTCTTATTTAGTTTTTCCTTTTGTTTGGCAGCTAAGCTAAAAGGCAATCCTAATCCGAGGTATATAGACTCTATTCCAGTCCTGTTAAATAGTAACCGAAAATTTACTCTTAATTTTTTTTTCTATACCTGTGTTGCGTCTTCTGCTTAATGTAATTTATATTTTCCCTTTAGTAACTTGTCACAGATTATCTCTTTAAAGATTTAAGAGATTTAATTGAATTACCGAATTTAATTTAATTGAATTGCTGAATTTTTTTTGATGTTCATGCCAAAAGATAACTACATTAATGTTTTGTTTTATTTATTTATCAAATTTATAAATTTTAGGAAATAAGTTTGGGTACTGGAAGTTTAGGTTCAACAAGTGGTACACTAATGGAAGAATATGATCATGCTCCTCTTTGGTGTTATGTTACAAAACTGGCCAAAAAACTTTCCGAAAAGTATTTACGTAGCTTAGGAAAATGTTTGTTGCACTCTTGAAGTGATATAGACACAGAAATCAGATATTGATTCTGACACAAAATATATAAATATTAAATAAGATTTTATAAAATTTGTTGGAAGTAAAAAATCATGTCCATTAATATTTTTTTTTTGGGGGGTACCTTAATTCAGTTATTGGTTCCTGTATATTATTTTAATTGATTCTTGGTGAATTGATCAGTCTCTCTCTAGGTTTCATTATTGTTCAACTAGAAATAGAGGCAAGGGAAGTTAGCCCTAAGCACTAACCTTCGTTCAACAACCCTTCTTTTTGATGCTCTAACTGTGGAAGAGATGTTTAAAAAAAGGCAATATGCATGTGGAGATTCTTGATTTGAGTTCAGACCCACTATAACCTAACATGAGGTCTCTCTCTCATAACAACTTCATGGAAGGAGAATCCAGTGAACACTAAACCTACACCCTATGAAGCACGGATACTCTGAAATGGCCCTTGTACTTGTGTCAGATACGTATCGGATACGGATACGAGTCTAATATGGCGGGATACGTATCAGATATGGAAAATAAGTGTCCTAATTTTTTTTTTAAATTTTTTGAATTTCAGATACGTTTGGGATACGCGAGGATACTTCAAGGATACGGTTGGGATACTTTCAGGATACGGTGGGGCGAAAAAATAATTTTAAAAACTTATAATGGGGTCAAAATGTAAAACAACAAAAGTAATCTAAAATAAAACAAAAAAAAAATCAACCAAGCCCTACCTCAAGGCTTGCAAATAGCAGCAAGGAGGAGGAGGAGGAGGAGGAGAAGGAGGAGTCGATCAAGATTCATCATCCCCTCTCCATCTCGCTAGATCTCACTCACTCTCACTCTCTCTCTCTCTATCTCTCTCTCCCCATCGCTCAATCTCACTCACTCTTTTTCTCTCTCCGTCTCGCCCTCGCTCCCTCTCTCTCTCTCTCCGCAACACATTTAGATACTGGAGGATTTAGGATGGAGGGGTATGAGCCAAGAAAAAGAAAGGCTACTAGAACTTCTGCTCTAGAAAAGGCATTCAACCCTGTTATTCGGGAACAATTGCATTTTGAGATTGCTCGCATGTTTTATTTAGCGGGGTTACCTTTTCATTTATCAAGGAACCCATAGTATGTTAGTGCTTTTCAATTTGCTGCCAACAATCCAATTCCTGGTTATGTACCACCTAGTTATAACTTGTTAAGGACTACAATGTTTCAAAAGGAAAGGGCTAATGCAGAGAGGTTGTTGGAGCCAACTAGAGCATCATGGAAGAAAAAGGGGTTGAGTATTGTTTCAGATGGATGGACTGATTCTCAAAGAAGGCCCCTTATTAATTTTATGGGAGCATCAGAAGCTGGAGCAGTGTTCTTGAAAGCTATTAATTGTGAAGGTGAGCATAAAGACAAGTTTTTTTTTAGTTCCAACTTAATTAGTCAATCAATTGAAGAAGTTGGACATCAAAATGTCATTCAAGTCATTACAAATAATGCTCCCGTGTGTAGTGTAACTGGTTTACTCATTGAAAGTAAGTACTCGATTATCTTTTGGACACCATGTGTAGTTCACACACTGAATCTTGCTCTTAAGAATATTTGTGCTCTAAAGGAAATAGAGGGTATTGCTTTTGCTTATGATGAATGTCACAGGATCACACTTTGTGTTGATGGTGAGATGTTTATCAAAAACTGCATCATGAACCATTCCATGTGGTTATCTATTTTCAATAAATTCATACCCTTGAAGTTGCTTGCTGTTGCAGACACACGTCTTGCATCTGCCATTGTCATGCTCAAAAGGTTTAAACTTAGAAAGCGTGGCCTCCAATCAATGGTTATTAGTGACCAGTGGGTTTCTTACAAAGAAGAAGATGTTGGAAAAGTAGCATCTGTGAAGGAAAAATTATTGAATGATGTGTGGTGGGATAAGATTGATTACATTTTGTCTTTTACATTGCCTATCTATGAGATGCTTTGGTTTTGTGACACTAACAAACCATGCATTCACTTAGTCTATGAAATGTGGGACACCATGATTGAAAAGGTGAAGGCAAGCATCTTTAGGCATGAAGGGAAACTAGATGATGAGGAATCAATCTTTCATTCCGTTGTGCACAATATACTAGTTGAGAGGTGGGCCAAAAGTAACACTCCTCTTCATTGCCTTGCATATTTTTTGAATCCGAGGTAATAACTTTTTTTTTGATCGGCAAATGTTAGTTGTTAGTTGTTAGATTAACACCTATGGGAGAAAATCTCCCCACCATTGGTAAAGCACTAAAATGCTTGTACTCCCTTAATTCAACCTCCTAAGGGGAATTAAACCCACAACCTCCTTGGGACTAAGCCCTAAGGAAGGCATGGTGGCCAACTAGGCTAGGCCTAGTTGGTTAAATCCGAGGTAATAACTTAATTCATACTCTTACTAATGAGATTTCTTTGTTCACATTTGTCTTTTAATATGAATAACATAATTTAATTTTGAAACTTTCTAATGTTGTAATCTAGGTATTATAGTTCAATGTGGCTTAATGAAAATCTGAATCGTGTCCCTCCTCATAGGGATGAAGAAATTTCAAGTATGAGAAACAAGTGGTTCAAGAAATACTTTCCAAATTTACTGGAGAGAAGGGTTGTAAATGTGGAATATGCTGAGTTTTCAGGAGGTTTGTATATGTTTGGAGATTTTGACTCCAAAATTGATAGAGGAGTATTGGATCCACTAATTTGGTGGTTTACACATGGGTCTCCTGCTCCTATGCTTCAATCTTTAGCATTAAAATTGCTTGGCCAGCCATGTTCCTTATCATGCTATGAAAGGAATTGGAGAACCTACTCCTTTATTTACTCCATGAAAAGAAACAAAATGACACCACAACATGTTGAAGATTTGGTTTTTGTGCACAACAATCTTCATCTCCTATCAAGGAGAAGTCGACAGTACATTAAAGGAGAAACCAAGTTATGGGATGTTGGTGGAGATGCTTTTGATTCATTGAAGGGTGCAGGCTTACTTGAAATTGCCTCTTGATGAACCAAATATGAAAGCTGTGATATTCATTGATGAAAGGGAACAAGTTGAAGATATTGACCTTAAAGACTCTTAGCTTTATACGAATCTTTCTTTTTTTATCAAGTTGTCTCTTTCTTTAGGTTTTATTTTTATGCCTACTACATTACTAAAAATTGTAAAAATAATATTTTTTACGAATGTATCCACACCGTGCTTGTATCTTAGTTTTTCAAATTTTTCCGTATCACCATATCTGTATCCATGCTTCCTAGGCTACACCTTACAACTCCTTGCAAGAATTAATTAAGGAAAATACTAATCACTTCCAATTAGATGATGACGAGTGTATGTGTAAAAATTATATTAAAATATATAAAATATCTAAAATATGTAAAATATATATATTGAAATTTTAATTTTTTGAAAGTTATTTAGTCTTTTTATTTTATTTTATTTTTATCAACATAGAAAAATTCTTTAAAATGTTTGTATAAATTTAGTCTCTAATGATGTTCGCATAGATTCTTATTAGCATAATCTTTTAATGGTTGTGTTTGGATAATAGATTTTAGCTAGAGATTTAAAAATGGAAAGAAAAATAAAAATGTGAGTGAAATATAAACGAAATATAAACTTTTTATTTTTGGGTTAATTACAGGCCAGTCCGATTAAGTGGACATAAATACCATTAAATCTTGTTGACTTTTTAAATGCACCATTAAGTCTTAAAATGTCTATAATACCCTTATTGAATTTATTAATTCTCATTAATTTTCTCTTTTCCTGTTATCTTCTCTCCCTTTCTATCATTTTTCCAAAAAACTTTTCTTTCTCCTCATCATCTTCTCTCTCTCTCTCTCTCTCTCTCTCTCTCTCTCTCTCTCTCTTTCTCTTTACACCATTTCTCTAAAGAGCTTCAAACCACAATTGTCGCCACATCACCATCGTCGCTATGGGCATCCACCCACCACTGCTACCATCACCTATCACTGACCATCGTTGCCTTCACCGCCACCATTGTTCAACTATCTCCACCACCTCTGATCCACCACCATTGTTCACTAACCATCTCTGTCGTTACTGATCTATACTTCACCGTCGCAGATGCATTATCATCGCTGCCATTATCCTCCATCTCCATCATCCTCATTGTCTAACATTTTTTCAGTGACCTCAAATGTTCTAGATCTACACCGATCTAGTTGTTTCCATGGTAACTTCAAATGAGTCCAAGCAATAGTGATTCTCCATATCTCACCTCTCTTTATCTCCTTCCTTCCTTCCTTCCTTATTTATTTCTCTCAAACCAAATCTTCTGCAAACCAGGATTTAATATATCAATGATAAATTTATCACTGAATATGTGTTTGTTTCTTGTGTTGATTTATGCTGGTGATGACAAGATTTGCCTTCTATAGTTGTTTTACAAACAATCAGTGATAAGTTTATCACTAAACCTGTATTTGATTCTTTGTGTTGATCTGCGAATGTGAAAAATGATGAGAACTTCTGGTAAGGATTTTTCATCCTTCTCCTTCATACTCTTCAACATTCTTCTTCTCATTTTCTCTTGTCACCACTAAATCTGAGGAGATAGTGGTGGTAGTGACATATTGGAGATCGAAATTGTCAAAAAAATATTGTTGGAGGTTGGAAGTAGTTGTCGAAGGTCAGTAATGGTTATTGGTAGTCAAAGATAGCGGCCAAATGGGTCGCCAGAAGTTAGTGGTGGTTGTCGGCATCAAAATTGGTCGTCGATGGTCGGAGTTAGTGTCCGACGACTGGAGGTGATCGCTCGTAGTCATCAGTGGTAGGGTGCCAGGGCAGTGATCTTATAGGTGAGAAAGGGCATTTTAGGGATATTGATACGTAAAAAATGAACAGGACTTATAGGTAAATAAGTTCGGTCAATAAGACTAGTCCGTAAGTGCCTCTTTTTTTTCTTCTTTGAATTTTTCTGTAATCTAAGATCCAAACACAACATATTAGGATTTAGTTTCCTTCCAGTCTTCTTCGGTCCAAATATTGGAATGGAGGGTCTAGTTCAGCCCATTAATAAGTCCATCTCAAGTTCATTTTATTGTTCAGTTTTTAATGCCTTTCGACTCAATCATCCATACAAAAAATTAGTTTGGTTGGATACTTGTAGTCACATATTTGAATTACATTTGTCTTTAAAAAATTGACAATTTACTTTTAAAATTATATTTGTTGTGTATTTTTTTAAAGACAAAAGCAACCGAAACATATAATTATTGATATCTAATTAAATTTACTTTTTATAAATAATTTACTAAAGAAATATTAAAAGTATTGTTGAAAAAAATGGTTTTTTAGTGACTTTAATTTAACATTAAAGTGTGGTGACTTTAATTAAATATTAAAGTGGGTCCCAACCATCTATTGTGTTGGGTCCAAGTGGGCCAAAAACCATTGAGATTTGAATAAGAAATTGCCTCATGATGTTAGATTCATGAATGGGTTTTTAAGGGTATTTAAATCCTTTTTCTTGGCTAAAGGGTGTGAATCCTTTGGGTATCCAAACTTTTCAAGTTTTTGAAAAGGGGCTATGGATACTAGTTAATGGTGTTTCAATGACCAGCCTTAAAGGCTGGAGGCTCTTCTTCTCTCCCCTATACATGTATAAATTGAGACCCTCCTGTCAAGTCTCAATATAGAAATTTTTGCTTCCATTTTACAAGTTAGTTTGCCAGAAAGTTTCTACAGTGAGAGAGTGCTGCCACAGTTTTTGTTCGCTAAGCTAGACTGAAAGTGCTTCTGTCGCAGCTAGTTTTTGACCGTCGTATCTTGGGAGACAGACGCCGGGATTCCTTAAGCACTCAACCCGTGAGGTAGCAAAATCTGTTTTAAGAAAACTGCTATCGTGCAGGCTTCGGTTTGGTTTCTTTACCATTTTATTGTATTGTGAATTTCTGTTGCAATTTAGTTGTAATTATCGGCATATGTTCGTGGTATATAATTTTTTATTTTTTCATAAATCTATTTATTTAATTTCACAATTTGGACAACAAGCTTAAAACAGATTTTTATATATTTTCTATGAAATTGATCAAATAGATTTATATAGACAATTAGGTTAGTTTTGTATAATGTTACTAAGAACTGTTGCGGAATTGCTCACTGTTTTAATGATACAAAATATAAATTTGCATGTTTAGAGATTCAAGTAATTTATATGAATAGGCCATTGTTCCGTTTTCTGTAGGTTAATTGTCGGTTCATGACTTTGCTTCTTTGCATGCACATAAAACTATCTTTATGCCTTCTTGCACTGATTCATCCTTCTAAGTACATTAATATATTTGTGTTTGCTAGTGAATAGGTCCATGTGTGTCTTAGACATATTGCATGCTATTGCTTCTGTTATTTAAGTAGACTACCTGTACTAAAGAGAAAGTCCACTGTTTGTTTTTCCTTTGGAAATTCAATGATTGTAAATTATGGAATGTTATTCTCTAATTGCTTAGTTTAATTAGAATGCTCTATTATAATTTGCATACTTAATTGTATTAGTATGATCTTATTTTATGCGTATGGTTCATCATTCCCCTACCATGATTTGCATGAATTTTAAGGTTATAAAATATAATTTATGGATGTTGCTGTGATCATTGAGAAACTTCCCAATGGTTGGAAGGATTTCAAGAACTACTTGAAGCATAAGCGCAAGGAAATGTCAGTTGAATACCTGATTGTCCGACTCTGAATTGAGGAGGATAATAGAAAGAAATGAGGGAGTACCTCCTTAGTAAAGGCCAATGTCATTAAGCATGGAAAATCTTATGGGGTAAGGAAGAAGCCCCCTGTCAACAAGGGCTCTAAGCTGGGGCCAAGAGGTGGTGTTGCAAAGAAGTCGGCTTACAAGCCGCATGAATTTGGTTATTGGTTCTTAGGAAAATGCTACGACTATGGTCGGGAGGGGCATCGGGCTAGTGATTGCCGCAAACAGAAGAAGCCATACAAGACTAAACCTCGTGCTCATATGGCAGATATGCAAGAGCACTCCCATGATGAGGATGACATGCACTTGTCTACTGTTTGTCTCTGAGATGAATATGGTGGGTTCAAATCCAAAAGAATGCTGGATTGATACTGGGGCTACAAGCCACATCTGCTCCGAGAATAAGCTGTTTACAACTTTCGAATCGGTTACAAACAGTGAGAAGTTGTTTATGGGAAATTTTGCTACCTCTATTATTGAGGGGAAAGGAAAGGTGGTCTTGAAGTTAACCTCAGGAAAGGAGCAAACTTTGAACGAAGTCCTGTATGTTTCGGACATTCGTAAGAATCTTGTCTCAGGGTCTCTTCTCAGTAAACATGGTTTTCAAATAATTTTTGAGTCTAACAAGGTCGTTCTAACCAAGAGCGAAATGTATGTGGGTAAGGGTTATATGTTTGGGGGGTATGTTTAAACTCAATGTAATGACTATTATCCCAAAGATGAATAAAAGTGCATCTTCTTCTACTTAAATGCTTGAGTCTTTCAATTTGTGGCATGGTAGACTAGGACATGTGAACTTTGAATCTTTACGTGGATTAATCAAGTTAGATCACATACCATCTTTTAAGATTAATCCGAAACACAAGTGTGAAACTTGTGTTGAAGCGAAGTTGACAAGATCTTCATTTCATTCTATTGAAAGATGTTCAGAACCTTTGGATTTAGTGCATAGTGATGTGTGTGACTTAAAATTTATACAATCACGTGGTGGCAATAAGTACTTCATCACTTTTGTTGATGATTGCACTAAGTATTGTTATGTCTATTTGCTCAAAAGTAAAGATGAGGCTATTGACAAGTTTGTTCTTTATAAGAATGAAGTTGAGAATCAAGTAGGCCGCAAGATTAAGGCTTTAAAAAGTGATTGTAGTGGTGAGTATGAATCTCCGTTTATTGAGATTTGTGCTCAATCTGGGATTATCTACCAAACCACAGCGCCTTATTCTCCTCAATCAAATGGGATTGCTGAGCGGAAGAATAGAACGCTAAAGGAAAT